GGGAGATTTATAAGCAAGTGCCTCACATGTTCCCTGGGCACCAATTTCGATTGTAATCTCTTTCCATCTTTTATCACCTGATTTGGGGAAATGAAATTCTGCACCCTTAGCTGGAATATGTCTAATTTCCTTCTCCACTTGGCTGGCTTCAATTTCTCTTTCTCTTCCCTGCCTGATTGGTTTCTGCATTCTTTTCATAGTTTTCTTGTCTGTCAGCCACAATTCTGTTGTCATTTTATGAACCGTCCTCTCTCCACAGTGTGCCTTTGTGGGCCATTACAGCTAATTTTGTTCTTTTATTTCCTTCTTCCACTTTTTAAATGCTCACTATTCTTTTTCTAACTTCTTGAGCAAAATGGTTAGCTTATGACCTCATTTAACCTTAACTGCCTCCCTACAAGCCCTATCTCAAATACAGTCACACTGAGGGTCAGAGCTTCTGTTTTGGGTGATACGACGTAGTCCATAACCTCTACACCTGTATCTCCTTCTCTGAGTCCTTCCGTCTCTCTCTGTCTCTGCCTCTCTTTCATGGGCACTTTAAAAAAATCACTCTGCAGCCCTACCCACTTTGGCTCAGGGGATAGAGCGTGGGCCTGCAGACTGAGTGGTCCCGGGTTTGATTCCAGCAAAGGGCACATTCCCAGGCTGTGGGCTCGATCCCCAGTAGGGGGCATGCAGGAGGCAGCCAATCAATGATTCTCATCATTGATGTTTCTCTTTCACTCTCCTTCTCCCTTCCTCTCTGAAATCAGTAAAAATATATTTAAAAAAATAACTCTGCCTGCACTCAGGTTTATTCACTAATATATTATATAGTAAAATGATAATAAAGTGTCTTTTCATCTAAAAAAAAATTATGCCTGATACCCACCCCAGTAGTTTTAAGTCAGTATTGCTATTACTTTATAACTTTGTGTTTTTTACTTCTTCAGAAATTATTAATATTTTTAGTAAACTTTTTACTTTAAAAGTTTTGGTTTTATAGGAAAGTTGCCACCATATCACAGAGTTTCTGCAAACCTCATACCTAATTTTCCCTTGCAACGTTACTCTTCTTTCCTCCTTCTCCATTCTGTATTTCTAAGAAGGAAGTCCTTCTTAGCACCGTACACTTAAGGGGTGGGGCGTTATGTCCCACCTCCTTGAGGGCAGAGGAGCTACATAAATTATTTAGGAATTTTCTGTACATGAGACTTAGTGATTCCTTTTTACATTCAATTACTACCTTTACCAATTTCTTTGCTTTCCATTCATTGCTTCTTTAAAAATTTTTTTTATTATGGCCGTGACCATTGTGGCTCAGTTGGTTGGAACATTGCCCTAGGCACTGAAGGGTTGTGGGTTCGATTTCTGGTCAGGGCACATACCCAGGTTATGGGTTCAATCTCTGGTCAGGGTGGATGCAGGAGGCAACAAATCAATGTTTCACTCTCACATCAATGTTTCACTCTCACATTGATGTTTCTCTCTCTCTCCCTTTCTCTCTCTAAACTCAATAAAAGAAATTAAAAAATGAATACATACATAAAATAATTTTTATTATGTAAATTTCATTAATATACAAAATAAATAGTGTAGTGAACTCGTTTCAATAATTAACACTTTGTCAATCTTGTTTCTTCTACATTCTCCCAGTCAACATTTTTTTCCTGCAGTATTTTGAAGCAAATATCAGATATGTCAATTCCCTGGCAAACTGACAGAAACATAAAAAAAACTCCCATTCCCTTCCACATAACTGAGTTAACAGTAACAATATCATCTAACAGCTGTCTTTTTATGGGTTATTTGAATCGGGATCTAAATAATGTCCATACATTGCATTTAATTGCTTTAGCTCCCAAGGTTTATTATTATATTGTCCACACTCCCTGCCTCCCCCCCCCCAACGCCCCCCGCATGTCATTGATTTACTGGACAAACTGGGCCATTGGCCAAGACTTTCCCATATTCTGGATTTGGCTGATTGCTTTCGTGTAGTGTCATTTATCGGTAAACCGATAGCTAGATGTAGAAGCTTTATAGGGTTCAAATTCAATTTATTTTGACAAGAATAGGTGGTTAGATGCACTAACTACTTATTAGACCGTATCATGCGGTGTATAATGTCTCTTTTGATGGTGTCAAAGGTTGGGCATGGGCTCAAGGTCTCAGCAATATGTTTCTTTGCTTTTGTCCTCAGGCTGGTGGGTGTAATGTTTCAAGGGCCTTTATCAAGGACATGGCAGGTCTCAGAGGATCTGGGCTTTGTGCAGGGGGCTCATCCAGCTAGTTTGTCATCACATTTTTTTTGGAATTTTAGCCTCCAGACTCTGAGGTCTATATTTGGGTCTGACATTCTCTTGGTCTAGAGTAATTTTTAGCTGATACAGATTCCTCTGGCCTCAGATTCTCTCTTTGTTTATGGCAGCATTTCTTTACTTGTTTTGACTTCATCTATGTATTAAAAATTCATTTGTATCATAGTTGTGCTATATATCAAAGCTCCCAATCAGCCAGTTAGAGGTTTATCAGTATGAACAGTAA